TAGGATATGCACCAAGAAATATCTGAACATGATAATGATGGCAGAAATAATGACACCAATTATAATACCTTCAAGCTATAAGTAAATAACTTCTTGGTCAATTGGCCATAAATTGATGTTGTATTAGGAGAACATTCGAAAGGGTCTCATAGGTTTTTTGTCTCATAATATTTGGCATTATCTAACAATAACAGGAATATGCTGATTGGCTCTATTCTGTTATTATTATATCATGATTTAGCTGTTTACCAGTGGTTTGTAAAAAGCCTAACGCACCAAAAAAAATCATGCGATGTTAAAGTGATGTTGTACGCTTACACATATAGCTAAATCCCCAAAAATCCAGAACATTGGTTTTTACGGTCTTTATATCAACGCCAATGAACCTTTGACATCAGGATTATTATTTAATTTTTATAATTTCCCCGACCTAACGTGTATTGATCCAACAAATATACTTTTAGGAATGTTTAAAATCCTAATGCAACGAAACAGCAGATAGTATCCTATCTGAAATTAAAATTATACCACAAAACCAGCAAAAGCCCAATGATCAACGGTGTATAGCTCTTGAAATTGATGGTATGCAGAAAAGACAAAGAATAAAAGTAAACACAACAGAACAGAAGTGACTGTATTTCTCTCAAGCTACAGTAGATCAACTTTTACTTTTAGAAAATTATTAATACCACCAAGATTCATTTATTCGGAATAAGGAGGGGGAGGACTTTTGAAACAGGGAGGCGAATAATTAGAATAAGGTTGCTGCTGCTGCTGCTGTTGTTGTTGTTGTCGGTGTTGTTGTTTACTATAGTTGGAACAAGAACAGTCGGAACAACAGTTGGAAGATGTTTTTTGTTTGGAATGGTTGGAAGAAGATGGTTGTAGTTTGGAACGGTTGGAGGAAGTTGTCGAATAGTCGGAAGAAGATGGTTGTGGTTTAGAATAGTCGGAATGAGATGGTTCTGGTGTAGAACAGCTGTGATATCGTTGTGGTTGAGAATTGATGCGCTCGCTTAAAGCACCATCTTGTTTAGGAGCAGCGACACAGCATATTACAATAAAGCCAATCAAAGGTAATACAAAAAAGGGCATCCCCCCAACTGGCGCAACTGTAACTTGAAAGACTGTATGGTCAAAGCCATATTGGAGCGCAACATGATAATTTTCCGTAGGCAATCCG